GCATACTCGAGAATTGGTCTTATTTTGGATTGATAGGTAATAATACCGACTTCAGCTGGTAACTGCGCTTTCCTGCATTCTCTAAGATGGTAAAGGCGTTTATTTGCTTTACGTGTAATCTCTTCAACATGTGCGTTCCATTTTAGATTATTTTGGAACGACACGCCAAGTAATTTGAAAGCGTTGACCCTTTCTATTAACTCATTTCCAATACGAAGACGTGGTGATTCAGGTATAGCGTCCGTGAAAGAGATCCACATGTCCTTAGTTTTTTTAGTATTAATTGCCATTTTATTTAACACCGCCCAGTTATTTACTTCATTGATAGATTGTTGTAAATTACTATTAGAATCTACGCTCACTATTTGGTGTTGTGTGCAGTCATCTGCATACTTATTCGTACTGACTTTTAGTTGTTCTGGTAAGGCGTCCTCCAACTCATCAATGTAGGTATTAAAAAGAATGGGAGATATTACAGAGCCTTGCGGGACTCCGGCCGGGCATTTTGCAATGGATGATAAGGTACCATTGAGATTTACTTGTTGAACTCTTCCGGAAAGGAAACTTTTAATCCATAACCAGAAGGGTTTATTTATGTTCATAGCTGCTAATTTGTTCAAAAGAATATTGTGATCCACAAGGTCGAAGGCCTTACGAAAGTCAATGAAGGCCGCATGAACCCCCATTTTGCTTGTTTTTGAACAATCAGTGGCATTAAACCAGGTTTGGGTAGTTGATATTAACGCAGAGACTGTGCTTCGATGTTGAGTAAACGCGTGCTGGTTATTCTTAATTTTCAGGTCTTCAATATTTAACTGGAGCTGGATCTTTTCCAGGATCTTGGCAAGATGGGGTAAGACTGATATCTGGCGGAAATCATTGTTAATGTCTCTCGGCGGTTGCACTTTAGAAACAGGGGAAATTAGGGCATGTTTGTAGAGTGATGGATAACAACATTGACTTATACTACAGCACACAATGTCATAAACCACAGGAGCTAGGTCTTCGTGGTATTGTTTGAGCATCCATGCAGGAACCTTATCGATGCCAGTTGCTTTTCTTGGATTAAGATGTTTTAAGACCGCTTTAACTTGGCCAATAGAAGGAAGGGGTGGTTTGTTATTCTTATGTGGGTGGTTCACTTCAGGTATTTCAAAGGCGACATTCGTGTAACGGTCCGACCATGGTTTAGAAGGCTTTCTGAAGTTTTTCAGCTAAGTCGGATAAGTCTAGGTTTTTCAGCTAAGTCTACCACTTCGATTGTTTCGAGGTACGAAATTCTGAGGCCTTGGACCGATAGTAGGTGGCTTTAGCTTTAGCTATAAGGTTTGCCACTTTCTCGCATAGTTGTTTGTATCTTGGCTGATCACCACGAGAAAAGGCCTTCTGACGAGCTTTGATTTGCGTTTTAATATTACCAGTGATCCACGGTTTATCAGAGTGATGTACTCTGATGGTTTTTTCAGGTAAGAACTCGTCAAGCATCTTGATTATAATGGAGTTATAAGCTGATACTTTCTCATCCACATCCAGTGCTGAATATACAGTAGTCCAATCTTCAGAAGCCATATTCAGGGAGAGGTCATTTAAATTTGCTCGTTTCATCAATCTAATTTTTTTTGACGTAACCGGAGTTTTCTGTCTTTTAATGGGCTTGATTAGAAGACATTGGTGGTCGGAGCGTCCGATTGGGGGGAGATGGCTAACAGTGTCAAAGAGAGGGAGCATATTTGTAAGGATTTGATCAAGAATGTTGTGTCCTCTAGTCGGTTTAGTTACAGATCTTTTTAAATTAAATCTGTTACATAGTTCTCTTAATTTTAGTTGATTGAAGTCCCCAGCTATAACAACTCCAGATGAAGGACGTTCGCGCAAGAGACTATCTATACAAGTAGTTAAGTATTCATTCATATCGATTGCTTGTTCGGCGGATTGACCAGGAGGGTAGTACACAACAGCAGCAACGATTGTACTGTAAGGTCTAGGGGTTCTGGGGGGTTTTAACAACAACCATATCACTTCTTTGTTTTCTTCCAAGGAATAATAACTTTTAGGAATAATAATGCCAAGTCCAATTTAATTTCTGCTACTTCTACAGATAATTTACTACAGTCTTTGCAATTCATTATATAATCGCCTTCGTTCTGCTTGTGTGAACACATTTCTTGCTCATTTGCTTTTCCTTCGCTAGCATCCGAGTCGCTTCGGTTGATAGTTGTTGTTGTATTACTAGATCTGTCAAACATGTTCGAGTTAGAATTGTTAATACTGAGACTACACTGATTATCGATAGATTCATTCCGTCTTTCGGAAACAGCAGGGGTAGCAATGACTAGCTCGGCATCTTTCACTATTGCAATTCGCGATGCATCGATATTTTTCTTCAAAGAGTCAGCCACTTCGCTGCCACGAGGACCTTGAAATAAGACAGTTTTGCTTTTACAATACCAGGTTATAGACAAAGCATCGCTAGTAAATAACCAGCGTCCACCTGACGGTGATTTCCATTTACCATTTATGTTTAACTTTTCTGCGACGTAGGACTTTAATTCGCTTAAGTCGCCATTCCAGATGAGTTTGTTCTTTTGTAATTCGAAGCAATTGCTCATTTTAGGTCAATGTATTATCCCTTAGAAGTGATTTTGAACTGTCTATATCGCGACCAATATCAGATGCCAAAGGAAACGTTTAAAAGAAAACTTTTATGAAGGAGCAACTGAAATATGTGCTAATTGATCATTGAACGAACATATTACATTTTCCTCTTCCGAATACAACAAATATAATACATATAAATATAAAGCGAGTAAATATAAGTTAGCAACATGAAATCAACAACATATATGAAATAATGAATACTTTTTGGGATCTTGCCATGCATCTAGCTCTTCCTTGACTTGTCCTTGTTTAAATTTTGTTATTGTTGTAATATTATTATTACTCTGTTCTATTATGTTATTTTTATATAGCTTTAATAGACATTTGCTGTATTCTAAACAGTACTGGTATTTTCTACTTCCAAAGCAAAAATATTTTGCACTGGCACTTCAGGTAAAGCGAAAAGTACAAGGTGTGTATGATTTCGCACAAATAAACTGTAAACAAATCATCAAATTATCAAACTAACTCACAGCAAGTGTTGCCGATGTTTGTCTGAGTCTTGGCGGGGGGTCGAATTTTCGTGACGTCAATTGTGGACAGCGCTATTACATTTCAGTTAAGCTATGATTAAATCAATATTTCTGCATTTTTCAGAAAGCTCGGATTCCCTAATTCGCACTTACTGTATAAATGTAAATGCAGGGCCGTAGCAACCGGGGGGGCTGGGGGGGGGCTGCAGCCCCCCCCAATAATTTGCTAATAATCATTCTTTTTTCAAAATCATGCAAACTTTATCATTTAATCTGTAACAAACTGCAAAGAATGAAGATATTACTCATACTCCAGATCGTTCCTCGCGTAGAAATTTTAGCTGAATTTCTGTCGCGCATTTTCAAGAAAATCCCAAAAATATGCACATTTTTGATGAACTAATGATTTATTTTGTCTTTTGCGTGTTGGGTCTTGCGAAAGAAAACTCTGAAAATGCCATTTCAGACCATGCATCTAGAGACTCCAGATTTTCGAAATTTTCTCAAATGTTCTGCCTTCATTTCCGCGCAACTGCCATTTACGACGAAAATTCCCGCCGCGCATTTATAATACTACAGTCCGGCCCATACTTTCCTGTAAATTTCGACATACTAAAACGCTGTTTTCTGACTATCAGAATTCTGTTAAATCTTCCCCCAAAGTCCAGGAAATGGCATTTTAGAGACTCTAAATTTAAAAATTTCCTCGGGCCTTCGGCCCTCGCTTTCAGCCCTCGCTTTCAGCCCCCCCAATCGAAAAGAGCTTCCTACGGCCCTGAAATGCTGCAATAAATGCAAATCATGTCCAACAAACTTCGCCGATAAATACCCAATGACATCGGAGTTGCCCGTGGAGGAACTTATACCCGATCTACATTTAACAAATATAAAACATTTTCCGTGTTGATATACAGTTATATCAACACGAGTGGAAATTGGGAAAACGAGAAATTGTGTGGAAACACGACGCGCCCGAAAGGCGGAGTGTTTTCACACAATTTCGAGTTTTCCCACTGATTTCCACGAATGTTGATATAACTGTATATCATGCAATACGGAAAAATGTTTTAAGTTTCATTTTGTTTTATAATATAGCACAAAGAAATATAAAGAAAGAAATTTTCCGACGTTTCCGTGTTGACATTGAGTTATATCAATTAGCGTTTAGAATTTACAAATATGCTATATTATAATTACTGTTATAACATTTAATTGCACTTGAATGTCGAATTTCACATTATAATGATGTCTGGGCCCAACAAATAAAAGACCATGGCGTTCTCGTTTCTATTTGACCTTTTAGCGGCAGACTCCAAACGAGTTCGGGGGGGGGAGGGGGATTTCAGTCCATTTCTAAGGTCTGCGAAACGCTATTTCATGCATTTTAGACATGTCTTATGATAATCTGTCGTAGAGGAAAAAATCAAGAGGTTTTAAAGGAATTATAAAATTGTTGCCCAGTTTTGAGATAATTACAAAATTGGTCCGGAAGAAAACTGTGGGGGGAGGGATGGTCCGGACTCTCATTCCTTCTTGGCCACGCCTTCGATTTTATTGGTAGATTGGAAAACGCAGACACATGTAGAAAAAACACACAGTCATGGCGAACACGGGAAGTTATGGAGGACACAGGCAGTGTTGAAAAGACGGGCGATAATGGAAGAGTAAAAAAGACTGGCTGTTGTTGGAAAAGCAGGTAATTAATTATAGAAAGGACAGGCAGTCATGGAAAAGTCGGACACTCACAGTTGTGGAAAAGAGAAGCAGTCATGAGAAATATAGGCAGTCTTAGAAAATATAAGCGGTCATAGAAATGATAGGCAGTCGTAGAAAGATAGGTAGTCGTGGAAAGATAGGCAATCCTGGAAAAGACAGGTAGTCGTGGAAAAGACAGGCAGTCATAGAAAAGATAGGCAGTCATAGAAAAGATAGGCAGTCATAGAAAAGATAGGCAGTCATAGAAAAGACAGGCAGTCATAGAAAATATAGGCAGTCATAGAAAAGACAGGCAGTCATAGAAAAGATAGGCAGTCATAGAAAAGATAGGCAGTCATAGAACAGATAGGCAGTCGTGGAAAAGTTAGACAATCGTGGAAACGATGGGCAGTTATGAAACGACGGGCAATCATGGAAAATTAAAGGAGAAATCTGGAAGTTCTGAATGGGGCTTATTAATGAATTGTCACAGTAATTTACGACCTTGCCTGGTGTTATGAAGTTGCAGTTGTCAAGCGCTGCACCGGCATCGTTCGGCGGAAGGTTCGATTCCTGCCAGAGGGCCTATAGTTGCATTTTTGGCAGCTGCTCCCGATCAGGTCTAAATAAATGAATAAAATTTCCATCTACAAGAACCTTCAACATAATAAAGGAAGCGTGTGTCTATCTGTTTTTATTTTCGTGATTACAGTGCATTATTGTCAAAGCAGTTCGGTATGGACACAAACTAAGGCAGCGTTTACACTGTACCGTTTTCGTAGGCAAAATTAAATTAACTCACGGCAAAATAAAGTTAACTCACGGCAAAATAAAGTTAACGAAATAGAATTAATAGTTAACGTTGGAAGGCCCGGCCTAAAACAAAATGGAAGAGACCTAAAACAAAATGGCCTGCGGCACCGCGCTCGATTGTCTCGTTTCGCTTGTGACTTATTTCTTCAGCAAATTATAAACTACTAACCTTCTCTGACTTTCCTTCCTAGTTAATTAATAATTATTTGTTTACTGTTTTAAGCTGATTTGTTTAGGTAGGTACATGGCTTTTGTTATAGCTTATATAGTCAGAGAAGATTAATAGGCCATTTTGTTTTAGGTTTCTTCTGAGGCCGGGCCTTCCAACGTTAAATTAATTCTATTTCTATTTTGCCGTGAGTTAACATTTGCCGTGAGTTAATTTAATTTTTCCGTGAGTTGTAATTAACTTTATTTTGCCGTGAGTTAACTTTATTTTGCCGTGAGTTAATTCTATTTTGCCGTGAGTTAATTCTATTTTGCCGTAAGTTAACTCTATTTTGCCGTGAGTTAACTTTATTTTGCCGTGAGTTAATTTAATTTTGCCGTGGCTATTTACTTTCGCCGTGACACTTGTGGGCCACCGTACAAGTCAAACAGCTACGTTAAAGCAACACATGCATCCACACATCGCTATATTTTCACACACTATCATACCTATTATATTAATGAAAGACATTGAAGCTAAGGATGAGATGACAACATCAGTCGCCCTGTAGATCTGTACGCGATAAATATTTTTGAAAGAGGGATCATAAAATCTTAGTCCACTGAGTCGGATATGCAAGATTCTATTGAATAAGTTAACTGGTAAAGATACGTTTTTGTTACTTTGTCGATAACTGGCAATTATGTCTTCAATAAAACTGGCAATCCGTTCTACAATAATCTAAAAATTACATTTCTATTACTGCTTTTCTTTAACTGTTTTATCGTTTTCTATATAGATAGAACTTTCGAGTATAAATTCTATACATGTACTTTAATATCTAACCGGGAAACTGCTGCGAAAATTGGAACTGAAATTCATGATACGTTTCCATAAATGGCGGTCTTTTCTATAACTGCCTTCTTTACGTAACTACTCTTCTTTTTCGTAAATATGAAAAGATCTATATGGCCATGTGGCAGCGTGACCGTGTTCGTTTGTCCGTGCATGCGTATCCGTGCTATAACACCTCACACAAGTGACTAAAAAGTTACTTCCTGATCAAATGTCAAGCACGCTTAAAATCAGACATAAACCGCATCATATAACAGACACCCTGTAGTAGCCGCCTATAACTGCGCGAAGGCAGACGGAATCATCTAGGTCAAATCATTTTGGCCCTAAAAGTCAAGATAAAAAGATTCTTTACAGTATATGCCGTTTGAGGTATGTTATTTGTACTTGTTGATTTGGAATAGATACTGATGCGCATGCAGTATTCGCGATATAACGTTGCGCTTGTCAGTTGTGATTATATAAATAACACAATGGTCTGTTGTTAATAATTTTCTCGACATTTCCAAACATGCTTGGAAAAGTTCTAAACATGCCATGTTTGCGATAGAGGAGCGATTATAGAATACCCGGCCTCATTTCTTTGTTAGAAAGGATATATTATTTAGTTGCGCACTCCTTTTATAACCAATATTCGAAGTTGTGTGACAAAAGCAATTGGTAACTTGTACGCCGATTTATACTGCCATGAAATATCTTATTGCGGAATGCTTAAAATAAAGAGCGCGGAGTTGACGAGGCATTCACTTGGATTATACTGCTTACTTACTGATATGAATGTGCTGTGGAACGCGATATTGTCCGGAACGTTATAAATCTAGTATAACAAATAAAATCTCATGGGCACTTACTGGCGTATCTTACTAAAATGATATTGTGATCACTGAACTGCAATTGTATTTTGTTATGTAGCTGTTACATTGTCATGTGATTATATATATATATATATATATATATATATATATAT